GAATATAGCTTGTGTTCAGGTCTCTCTCAGGTTTTTAGTTTTTTTTAGTTTTTTAGCCTAGTGACCCCTCGTGAAGCTTTGGGGACAGCCCACGTTGGAAACCACTGCACTGAAGAGGAGTGTCAGTTTGGATCTGCTGTGGCAGGATTTTTACACAGCCTCTCTTCATCTCTTCAGCATACAAAGAAAACAGACAAAGTTCAGATAGCAGCACTTTGGCTAATTTATGGTTAAATGTCGCAACCTCAGTGCTGCGAGGGCGCCTTTTATGTGTCCAATCTGTACGGTTGGTAAATCCCTCAGATGAGCTGAAACATTTAATGAGGTTGGAAACATTTAAGGATCTTCATTGCTATGTTAGTTCACTGGTTATAGATACAACAAGAGATTACAAAGTTAATCCAAGTGTGCAGCTGTGGAATTCAAACATTATGACATTTCCGAATACATTCTCAACAATGTTAATGTCTTCAAAATCCTTGGCAACCTTAAATGTATCTGTGGTAGATGCAAAAACATCCATATGCAGGAAAGAGCTGCAGCTCCAGCCCTGTGGTCGCCAAAACCTTAACAGTACACGTTAAAGAGCATTATACCTATTTTTTTGGCCTTTTCTCCAGTTTCTGTTCCTCCCCTGTACATGCTCCTCTGGGTCATGTTCTTCAGCTGCTTCCACTGAATGTCATACCCACTGTTATGCCGATGACACACAGATCTACTTTTCTGGCGAACCAATAACGCTGCAGCAACTCCATATATGGATGGCCAGCTCTACCGACTGAGCTAACCGGGCGCCCAAGAACTTTTTTTAAGAAACTCTTCTTCTCCCTTAGCTTTAAAGATGAGTTCCAGAGTGTCCGGTGATCTTGAGAAAGAGGAGGAGGAGGAGGAGGAAGAAGAAGAAGAAGAGAGCTTCAACCCCACGGAGGTGAAAATGAGTCAGATAGTGATGCCCTGTCACAGCAACCATCGGCAGGAGCTGAGCGTGGGACAGCTGCTCAAATGGATGGACTCCACCGCCTGCCTCTCTGGTAATATGTGTGTGTGTGATTCAGTATTAGTCATGTGGTGTGTGTGGAAATGCTTGTATCTCATTTGTGAGTGTCCAGAGGATGTTGTAACCACTGACCAACCAGACAGGACGTGACTCGTGTGTTTCCTATGTGCAGCTGAGAGGCACGCTGTGAGTCCCTGCGTCACTGCCTCCATGGATGACATCCACTTTGAACACACCATCAGGTAACAGGAAGTGTGTGTACAGAGGCGTGGGCCCTTCTTAATTCTGCTAGTGTGTGTGTTTATACAGTATACACTAATTTTTGTCTGTATCTGTATCTGTGCAGTGTGGGTCAGGTAGTGAACATTAAGGCAAAGGTCAACCGAGCCTTCAACACCAGCATGGAGGTCAGATAACACACACACCGTCATACCATTATACCTGCTGTTTCTTATGTAATAAACGTATAACCAGTCTGTGCAGTAAGGCATTACAAATAATATCACTTCCCCAAGTACCTAGTAGTGTAAATTATTACTAATACATTTAAGTAATTCTATTACAGTTACTCGTTCTTATCCTACTGATCTGAAGTCCAACAGTCCAATCACATCCTTGTAGTCGTGGAGGAAACTTACATTCAGCAGCTGGAGATATTCAGTTACTTTGAGTTTAAGAAAACAAAACTGGATTTTAATCGCCATTAGTCGGAATTTTCAGGTGCACAATCACCAATTTTGTGGGGAGTATCATAAAAGAAATATAGCTAGTAGTGTAACTAAAAACTGTCAGCAATGAGTAATAAGTAAAGTAATAATGTTACTGAATTATTGAAAATAGTAAAGAGTAATATATTTTTGAGTAACTTGCCTGTAGCATGTAGCGGTGTGTTTGCAGATTCCAACTCACTCCTTTCATCCTCCCTTTCAATCCACGAGGGAGAAACTACGCTGGCCCTGAAAAATGATAGCAGCCCTATCTAGAGCCAGTGTTTGGTTTGTCCATTCTGGGCTACTGTAGAAACATGACAGACTCCATGGAAGGTGACCCGTGGTTTCTGCATCAGTTTACCCAGATTACAACAAAACATTTTATCAGCTGTACTGTATATTATACCCTAGATTTTCAAATAATAGCCCAGGCCTTTATTTACACTCTTTAAAGCGGGTATTATTGATATTCTTATTACAACAGTGTATCAAATGACTTCTTGAAAGGAGTCTCTAGTAGTGATGAACCTACAGAGAGTTCTCAGCCGAATCTGCATCTCTCTTTGGATTTACCGAGCTTGTGAGTGAGTTCAGACTTTTGGCTTCATCGTTCCACAATTCCCAGCACACAATTTCAGCGGTTTGGTTCACTCTTGCTGCTCTCACAGTGTCATTTTCAGAGAAAAAGTTGTAATCACCTTCTGTTTACTACCTGCTCAGCAGCAAACAGCAGACAGACACAGCTAGTGAACACAGTAGATGATCCCTAATATATTCCATCTCAGGTGGGCATACAGGTGAGCTGTGAGGACCTGTTCTCTGACCGTCACTGGAGGGTTTGTCTCGCCTACGCCACCTTTGTCACCCAGCGCACAAACACAGGGAAAAAGGTAGGGACATCATTCATGACCATTTGGACTGAGCTGACACACGGTTCAAGTCGTGACAAGTGTTGGTGTGTGTGTAGGTGTTGATTTACTGACATTACCTCACAGGTCATCTTGAAGCCCATTGTGCCTCACACTCAGAAAGAGCAGGTTGAATACAGCGTGGCGGCTGAGAGACGGCGGGTCAGGATGGTACACGATGACATCATCAAAGAGCTGCTCTCCAACGGGTCTATCCAGCAGGGTAGGTTGAACGCATGCTGCTACATCACAGCATCAGCAGACCACATCAAATGTAGCAGTTTTCCCTGATTAAGCAGAGTTTTTGCAGATGTTTTGGATGGTGTGCCCTGTTGCAGAATGCTGTTGAGAAAGTGAAGGACAACAACTGAATACAGTGTATCAAGGCTTTAAACACAACGAATAAAAAAACAAATATGATTCTGGTCAAATAGACTAACTGTTGGCTTGCACAAATGCCATGCACGCTAAACTTAAATGATTAAAAACACATCAGTTGAGCCACAATGTTGCATTGGGTGACATGTACACTGTAGTTTATTTTGACCTAATCACACATACACCATCCTGCTGTCACAAATAGTACCCCGAACGGTACTATGCAGGGGTTACTTGATAATTTACTATAAGTTCCATAAACCACATTTTATCTTCAGTATTGCTATTTTCAGTGCAATTGTTAACTGCTGTCAGCTGCAGGTTCCTCCCTGCCGCAGAGGACAACAAACAACTTCAGTGAAGCACAAGCAAATGTTTCTTATTAAAATGGAAGTGCAACTTATCAAAAAGGAACCCCTGCACTAGAGCACCAAAGGTGGATTAATCGGCCACTGAAAATAGTCCCCAACAAATTCACTGTCACTGTTCATGAAACTATATATTTGGGAGC